TGGTGGCGGTGGCGGCGGCGGCGGCGTGGTGGTGGTGGTGGTTGTTGTTGTTGTTGGTGTTGTCGTGGTTGTTGTTGTTGCTGCTGATGTTGCTGATGTTGGTGTTGGTGTTGGCGTTGGTGTTGGTGTTGGTATTGGTGCTGGTGTTGGTGTTATCGTCGTTGCTGTTGTCATTATCGATGTTGTGTTGCCGCTGTTGTGGTTGTTGTTGTTGTTGATGTTGTTGCTGCTGTCGTTTTTGTTGTTGTTCTTGTTGTTGTTGTTGTTGCTGTTGCTGCTGCTGATGTTGCTGTTGTTGTGGTTGGTGTCGTTGATGTTGATGCTCTTGGTGTTGTTGCTGCTGCTGCTGCTGTTGCTGTTGTTGTGGCTGTTGTCGTTGATGTTGTTTTTTTCTCGGTGTCGCTGCTGTTGCTGCTGTTGTCGCTGTCGTTGTGGCTGTCATGTCGTTTTCGCTGTCGTGGTTGTTGTTGTTGTTGTTGCTGTTGCTGTTGCTGTTGCTGTTGTTGTTGTTGTTGCTGTCGTTGTTGTCGTTGTTGTCGTTGTTGTCGTTGTTGTCGTTGTCGTTGTCGTTGTCGTTGTCGTTGTCGTTGTCGTTGTCGTTGTCGTTGTTGTTGTTGTTGTTGTTGTTGTTTTGTTGTTGCCATGTTCGTTGTCTTTTTCGGTGTTGCTGTCACTGTTGTCTGCATCTTTGTAGTTAAACCAAGCGGCTTTCCTCTGCCACGATGTGCGTGCGCATAGTCGCTCTGTCCAGTCGCAAGACATACCGGGTCTCGAATGGCCCTTGCAAAATCGATGTTATGTCCCTTTCTGCGGCCCCGTTATCAAGGAACCACTTCCTCGAGCTGGCGCTGTACCCCAAATTGTAACAGTCTTGGCCCGTCTGCATTGCCTGCACAATGATATGGATGACCTCCCCCGATATGTGATCGCCGGGGCGACCCCTTCTCGTGTACTCCTGAAGTAACACCGGGGCCAGCTTCTTTGCGTCTTCACGCCTCAAATCAAACCAGAACTCACATGCTCAGACACGCGCACACGCATATGCACAACGAACCCGTGCACCCAAATCTTGGAATAAGCAACTCCTCTGGCGACAACCGCGTCGATTGCCCTTTGGCCCAGTACCAATACACCATGCTCTGCAGGACGGGGGTTTGCAAGCCCTCAAGGTAGGTCTTGTTCGCAAAGTCGCCCTGCGCATGCAAGGAAGCGCTACCATGCAACAACCCAGCACTGGCACCTTTGCAGCAAGAACCATGTGCTGACCAGTTACCCCACTTGCTGCGATGAGCATGCGAAGGATGTAATCCTAGAAGCTTGTTTAATGCAGCAGTGGGAGTCCAGACAAGCACTAGATGTTTCGAAAGGAACTGCAGAGTCTGGGGCTCCGGCCACAACTCCACCCCACGTGGGGGAGTAGATGATCATTGGCCCCTTGGACGGTCCGCCAGCCTTGGCATCCTTCGCACCTCGACGGCGCCGCTTGCCGGGATTAGAGTCACTGATCGTGTCAGAGGGCACCCCTTCCGGTGGTGTCGCAGCCGGCCAAGCACTCGACGCAGGGGGCGCTGCAAGTCCCGGGTACCCCGCGTGCCCCGCAGGCACCATCATCGTCGAAGCTCCCGGACCGGTTGTTGAATAACCTGGAGCTGCACCTGTCCCCATCGGCGGATAGGAGCCTGGCACTACGTATGCCGCAAGCGGGTGCGGATGCCCACCTGCTGAGGGAACCATGCCCGAAGGAGCGGGCATTGAAGCTGCAGGATAGGCCGGGTGCATGTGCCCGGGCTGTCCTGGCTGTCCTGGCATCGAGGGGTTCATGACTCGCCGAGAGGGAGTCCACGCTAGCTGCGACCTAGGAACCTGCAGAACAGCGGTGCATGTGAGGCTGAGAATCACAATCATTCAACACGACTCTGCACACGGACCAGACAATGCGTGCTACCCATTCGTGTTGCACTCACGCATCGGCTGGGGTACTTCTCGCGTTCAATGTGAAACATGTTGCGACCCAGCACCTAGGGGATATCGGTTCCCACAGGCTTCATTGAAAAGCACGACAGCGCCACAAGCTGCACAAGAGCGGCGCATTGCAAAGCCATGCAATTGCCTATGAGCTGTGCTGCACGCTTCGGGTCACGTGTCCCCAGCACAGGCACACCCAGAGCATCCGCCACTTCTTGCCGAACTGGAAACGAGAGTGCATCCAGCCTGTTCACGGAGACGTGGTGACTGGTGCGGCTGGGCACAAGAAATAATATATAAAGGTTCCGGCACAACATTTCATGCAGACTAACCCATTGCAACACCAAGGCGCTTCTCTGCACAGGTCATCCACCGGGCAGCACTTGGAAACCAAAATTTCCCGCTAGCCGCGTTTCGCCGGAATGTTGGTATTTTCCGTGAAACTGCGCTCCAGTTCACTGTGTAGTCGGGGTTGTCCCCCAGGAAGTATACCAAATCAGGATCTGATCGCGGCTCTTTCTGGAACCTCTCTCGATACTGCAAATGCAGAGTATGCATTGCCTCCTGCTCGCGACGGGTCAGCAGGTAGCTCAAGTCCCGCACGTTCGCCCGGAAGGGGAGCCTGCGTCTACCTCGGAATTCACACTGGCACAACAACGACAAGAACGGCATCCACACCAAAGCCAGAAGTCCAACACGACAGTGTACACAAGCACCAACAACCCAACACTAATGCGAACTGACAGCAGCAGGAGCAGCACCACCC